ACCAGCTGCTCATGTTCTGCACACTTCGCTGATCAAAGTTTTATGGGCTGAAGCTCTCCATAATGACAACATGTCCTGAACACACACTGGACTGACAACCAAACACACTGTCCACCACATTACAACCAGTCACCGCCGACTGAACACACATGAAGTGATCTGAGTCTGTTTTGGAAACAGCAAACATCGCAGCACCGCTCTAGAGCAGAGCTTCCCTCTTCCACAGGCTGAAAACACACTTTCCATGGACAAAGCGGTTGTTTGCTCCACTTACCCCTCTGCCCTGATGCTGATGCTGCTGCTTCTGATACGGGCTTTTTATCGAAGTGTCTCCGGCAGACACACACACAGCTCCGCCAGCTACGAGGGAACTGACGGACTGGGAGCGGAGGCTTGTGGCTCCTCCCCCAGACTGCATCATCATCATCCCGCCAGCAGCCAGCCAGCGCGGCGGCGTGGGTGAGCGCGCTCTGGGCCAGTGAGAGGGACTGTAAATGCGTGGTGTAGATGTTTCTTTGTAAGTAGTAACCCATTTGAAGGTAGTGGCTGGTGGTTTATTCATGGATGAAGAAGAAACACAGACCTACTGACAACAAAGAGGCACCAAGCCACCAAAAAGACACGAAGCGACCAGCAAATGGAATAAATGACTGCAAGGACGCACAACGACAATGAAAGTAAATAAAACTACCGAGTGATGCAAAGTAACTACAGCAAAGGGCACAAAAAAAAAACACCACAAACAGAAATGTAATGGTCACTTGATGAAGCAAAATAACCACAAAGAGACACAACACAACTTCAAACAGTTGAAAAACTACAAAAAGAAGCAAAACAACTACAACCTGATGCACAGCAGCTACAGAGATACAACTTCAAAGACAAAATGACTAGAAAAAAGGCAAAAAAGACATAAGAAATACAAAAACTACCCCAAAACTACCCAAAGACATAAAGCAACTATTAAGAGATGCAAAACATCTACATACAGATACAAAACGGAAAGAAAGATACATAAACAGACTACGGAGAGACACAAAACAACAATAAAGTATGCCATGATGTCTGNTGCTTATATCTAGCATGTATACTTTTTTTGGACTGTGGGAGGAAGCCGGAGAACCCGGAGAGAATCCACGCTGCACAGGGAGAACATGGAGACTCCACGCTGAAAGATCCCGGGTGTCCTCACTGAGCTGCGAACCGGCGACGTTCTTGCTGCGAGTCAACGGTGCTAACCACTGAGTCACCTTACAGCCCATCTATACACTTTTCAGTGAAAATAAACCTTTGAAGTGCTACAGAACCAGTGTTAACATTTTCTTGTTGTTCAGAACTACTTGGTTGGCTGCACTTGGATGAGTGGCAGAAAACAAGAAGGTGCTGCCAAAAAAACAGCAGTTACAGGATGTAACTCCAGCTGGCTTTCTCCTGTCTTTCCACTATATTGCACTACCATTTTCACAGTTCCCTTCACTACAGGAAACAGCAACCTACCACACTGAAAACTTCAAGTTTTGCTGAGGAATTGAACGGATTTGAAAGGTTCAGAACGGCAGCCTTGCTAGTTTTTTTTCAGTGAATTATCTATTTTATTGATTGTCCTCATCTCTCTCTCTTTCATACAAACAAGCCGCAGCACCTGACTCCCTGCGGTGGGCCGGTAGTGAGGCTCAGTCACACCAGAGGTTTGTGGGAGTTTCCACCCAGACCACCTCCAGCTTTGCCCCTGGACACATTCACATTTCAGTCTGACACTCTTAAAAGTCGTACAGACTAGCTGCTGAAGTCTGTGTTTGGCTTTTTGGGGTCCAGTAAATACAGTGAGCTAAATGTAGTCGTAGCTGTGGGCTCACCGGTCTGGTCCTGTCTGGTGGTAACAGCAGCCCGGAGTCCTGTATGCCTCCAGCAATGGTCTGAGAAGTGGTCGTCTGCTGTTGAGGCAGCAG